GGGGAGAGGCGCCGGCCCTTTGCCCCCCCCACCCCCGAAAAACGCATCCCCCGCGGAGCGGGGGTCCCCGCCACGCTGCCGGCATAAAAATAATCAGAATCAGCCCTTATTAACTATTTAGCCTCAGCAATAATTGATGCCCGGTATGAATAAACAAACAGCAGCTCTGAGATGTAACACGGCGACCGGCACCGTTCCGCTGGAGCCTTGCGTGTCCTTGCTCAACTCACTTAGCTGCTCCCTCCTTTCAGCCTCTGAAGTGTAAAAGAGAGGGAAAGTATTTAAAGATACTTGTGAGTCATCTGAGAATCTGCTCTGATGGCTGTTTTAAAAACCCATCTTCAAATATTTCCTCCTTCCAACCTTTAATTTGGCTCGGTCCTTGGCAAGCAACAGACCACCACCTGGATCAATTCTATGCGTGTAGAACACCTGATTTACATTTGAAGTAGAGATTACAGGCCCCAGATCAAGTTCCCATCCCACCGAACAGGAGCAGAGTGAGATTTCCAGCTGATCTCGCTTTGCTACCGTTCGAATCAAGCCATTTCAGCTGTAAAGCCGGCGGATCCTCCTCTCTGCTGCCTCCCCTCATCACGTTGTGGTCTGGTTCTGCACCACGCGAATTCCAGCCATCTTAAATGTAAAATAATCGGCTGTGCGTTGGGATAAAGTTAGGAGGACGGGAAATAAAATCATGCCCATCTTAGGGGGGAGTTGCATTCGCACACCGTTATGTGAGCAAGAGCAAAGAGTCTAGCTTGGCTGCCTAATGACTTAATTAGTAAGATCTCTGAAAACAGCTGTTCCTGGCTGCCAGCAAGGTAACGCGCTCCAGGAAATCTCTGGGGTGGTCATTCCGAAAGCATCTCACTGATTTATCCCCAGTGTATCAAAAGAGATTTTACTCGCATATACCTTTCTATCTTCTTACTTTTGTTTAGGACACCCTCTGTTATTAGCACCTGTGAGGTATGGGCAGAAGTACAAACACGGTATGCACGTGCGTATACACAGCTATATGACCATAGCAACAAGAAAAAGAGGCAACCATACATCAGCAGGTGACGACGCACCCTTCTATCCCATCCTGATAAAATCATTTTTCCGCATAGAATTTACTCTCTGATTTAAGAAGAGATTTCTTTCGGTGAAATAGGTCTATACATTCAATTCATGTTAGCTTAGCTATGTTTGTGCTTATCTGGTAGTAAAACCAGGGTCTATCTGCACACAAAATTGAATCTAATTCAACTCGTATTTTCCATTTTCCATTCGGTGCAGAGTGTTTATATACAATTTAAACTGGTCATAGATTCTTAAACAGCCCTCTTATTAGCTTCACCTAAATCTGGTTTAAATGCTATTTTAAAAAATTACCGTGGGTACATAACAAAAATTTGCACTGAGTTAACGGCTTTACAGCACAGCTACAAAAACATCTTGAACAATCTCATGGATAAAGAATGCCCTAATCACTCCTGACTTGTTCTCCTGCTGATCAGAAACATCCAAAGAGCCCACAGGTACTGCAAAAAGGAACACGAGCAACTTGGTAAGATGCGCTCTGAAGGGAGCTGATCCCACAGATGTGGGTTATTCCTATAGTTCAGCTCGGTGCCCAAATGGCAGAATCATCAAGGTTGAAAAAGACCTTGAAGATCATCTAGTCCAACCATTAACCTCACACTGACCGTTCTCAACTACACCAGATCCCTAAGTGCACATTGGGAGAGGATTAGTAATCTTACAGGCATTTTCAACTGTTCATATTGGAAAAGGACAGGACAAATGGATGAACAACAACAAAAAAATAATATCACATTCTCCCAGCCAACACTATTCCTACACCTCCTCTAATGGCAACAAATCATCTTCCTTTATCACCAAAAAATCTGATACTCTGATATGATCTTGTTGGAAGTATAAATAGCTGAAAGGCAAGACATTCAGATAAGAATTAAAACTGTGTTCCTGAATGTTCTTAGCAATTAAAAAAAAAAATAATAATAATCTGATGGCACTTTTGCAAGACTGAAGCATTAGTCCTGGCAAGCTAGCTGGATTTCAGCTCAGATACTATTCCCCTGAAAGACTGTTCTTGCACACTTGTTGGACGTTGAATGCTTCTTGATTTTGACCTAAATTATTGTGACGTTGCTAACTGCATGGTGCTAAACTGTTAGTCCTGTCAGACACAAAGCTTGTGGCATTTCGAGGTTTGACAAAGTATTTTTGACTAGGCCCAGCATCTCTCAGAGAAGTTGTAAGGTTGTTTGCATTCCTTGGGTGAAAGGCAATTAAAAGTGCTAAGTATTATTTAAGCATAGCTGAATGCAGGGACTCAGTTGGCAGCTAAATTGCAAATGCTGGAAAACAACAGTGCTTCCACCTGAAAAAAAAAAACAAACCATCCCATAGCTCATGGGACAGAAAATGTCCTCTGCTCACAAATAAGGCTCATGTCCTGGAAAGCCTGCCTCCAAAGGGATACCTGCAATCCACAGGGACAAGATTTCCTTTGCAGACAGCAGAGGGCAAGAACTAAAAACAGCACTTCCAGCTAAATGCTAAGAAAAAGAGTAGATGTAAAAGGAGAGGGAGGGATACTGTATGCCATACCTGTCCTACCAACTGACAGACAGTTGTGAAGGACTATATAATGTATGCCCAACAGGCTGAAGGTATCCACATTAAGATTCACACTTACATAGATAACTAACAAACGCACCAGAATAAGGTCTTCCAGAGAAAAATCATTTGTCTACTTCCACGCTCAGTCACGGAGAGACTCCTGCTTTTTCTTTAATTCCTGAATGCATGGTTAGCTAATGTTTGAAGACTGCAAAGTCTAAATTAAATTTTACAACTGATTACTTGATTAGGTTGGTATAAGATGTGCCCTTCAGTCTACACCCTGACCAGAGGAAATTCAGTGCCTGAAAGTAAAATTATTTCAAACTAAACACATTTGCTTAGTACTGCAATAGAAGATGTGCTATTTTCCAGTCATTTAAGTAACATACATTGGTTTAAAGCACAGCCTGGGTGAATCCATACAACTAAGTTAAAAGGACGTGGATTTTTAGCTGTTCCCATGAGTTTAAAGATTTAAAGCAGTAATGCCTAATGATGACAGCAAAGGACTGTCTCTAGCTCCAAAATCAATGTGTTGTATCATTGACTCACATTGGTTGACTCTGGAGATTTGACAAATTCCGTGTTCCTCAGTTTTTTCCTCCTAAAGAAGGGACTAATGACACTTTACCTGCCCCTTAGGACTTTTACGATGCTCGCTGGTAACTTCAGACTTCTCCAAGATGAAATCTGTTTTATACATACAAAGCATTTCTGTAGTATTCCATCATTAGGTCCTGCCATCTCCTTCATCTGCACATGCACATCTCAGAGAAATGCAAGTTTACAGACAGAAAAAGTACTTTTCGGGGGGGGGAGGCGATTACCAGAACTGCTGAAACTGTCCCTGCCACATACCTATTGAGCTGTCTTCAGGATTAGGCCCTTGCCTGGAATTGCTGTCACACTCCTGGCACCACGCTAGTATCTCCTGTATTACCACATGTGATGCCACGTTGTGATCAGACATCGTTCTTCAGCTGCTGAATTTGGGGAAAGCTTGTCAAAAGCTCTTGTCTGCCAACAGCGAAACAGGCTGGATCGGTGCCATTTCCATAGCAGGCAGCTGGGAAGGGAAGAACCTGCTTCCCACACGGGTGGCGTGGCACACGCCGCTGTCGCTGCCCTCGCCGCACCGCAGGAATTCAGCTTTAAACATACAGTAACACCGGGAACTTTGCCTTTATACTCCCCTTCTCCCCTTGCTCTTCCCTTACATCTCTCATTTTCATCTCTGCTGAAACTCCATTGTTTTTAACAGTTCAACAACCTTTGGGATGATTGAATTGATAGGATAAGAAGGATTTGAGCAAATCCGGTGGTTGGTCCTCTGCTAAGGAATCAATTATTCCACAAGCTACAGAGCACTCAAATAGTTAAGAATCCAGCCATTTAATTGATACTTGTTTCTGCAGCTGTGCAATACCTCCATTTCCCAAGAGGGCTGTTTCCAGTTGCTGCTCAAGGTTTCTAACAATCATATGGATCAATTCTGCAGATACCTTAAGGCTGTGTGTTAAGTAAGAATGATGTTTGTGGTGTGTATTGGGCGGGGAAGGAGGCGGTGGAAAAAGAGACATTTCATACATCAGAAAAACGTTGACGTATTTTCTGTTTTAAACACATTTATTTAGAGTCTTTAGAGCCCATACATTATCGAATAATTTTAATTTATCACATCCAAATATAATAGGCAAATATATAATACAATAAATTGCATTTGTACACATAAATACAAAATTTGAGGTAGGGCCTCAAGAATAATGATTTCTTAAATTAATAACATACAGCATTATAATATGCACTACATGAGATACATATGAAACATTATCTTCTCCACGTACAGCTAATGAAAAAATTATATAATGACTTGGTTAGGGTACAAATCTTTATCCATAGGCAGCAGTACCCCATAGAATGCCTGTAAATATATATATATATATTTATATATGACATTACGCAAGTAATTAAGATTTAACCCATCAGCGATGGGTCCGTAATAAAGTGCCATAGGACACAGGGCGCAAATTCTCAGCTGGTGTAAATTGTCACAGCTCCAGACAAAGCTGTGACAATTTATACCAGCTAAGCATCTACCTTACAAGGTAATACTACATAATATAAATGACAGATAACAACATGTTTTAGTCAATTGATAATTTTCCTAACAATGGAAGATAGCTATAAGGCAAATGGTTACCTGAAGATGTATTTAAACATTATGGGCAAATAATAATATTGCAAGCAATAAGGTCCAGCCCGGTTCTCACGTTACATTAAACCCATCAGGAAAACCTTCTCTCTTTGGCGACAGGCTGCCTGAGGGTGACAAAGGCAGAAACCCCAAATACCCCTACCCTCCCCCCTCGAGTCATCAACCTGAGTCTCTCAGGAATATCAAGCTCTGACCATTTTACAGATACCTTATGTGCACACCATTTAACTACACAAACTAAGAAACGAGTGTTCTCTTCTAACAGTGTTACCAGCAAAACAGAGAAACTTTCTGGGATGCCACTTGCTGAAGCTCTGCAGCCTGCAACCTACAATCCCTACAGGTCTGTCTTAGATTGCAAGAAGTGGAGCTGAAGAATAAGAAACCAATAGGAAACCAATGTATGCCATAAATAAGCAATTGCTTTAACACAGGCAAAAAGAAATCATACAAGCCACACAACTGTACATACATTCGAAAAGACCAAAGGTATTTAAAATAAATCAGGCGTTGGAATTTTGTGGTAAGAGATAGCCACACAGTGTATCGGAAGCAATGATCTTCAGTGCTGAGGCACATCTAACGTGGTCAGTGGAGCAGAACCTAACCAGAAGACTACTTTGACCCAATTGAAACATCATATAAAGACCATCCAAGTCTTTCTCAATTAAAGGTCATTTTGTTAAACCCTTCTTTTGGAAACAAAGTGCTGCCATGACTAGCTGAAACACAGGTTTTGAACATTGCATATTAAAAACACTAGGAAGACCCCAAAGAATTTGAAGATGGCAAGCATTTGCATTAGGTATAATCTTTAATGCCTACAATAATGTATCTCATCTCATCCAGAAATTCAATTTCATTTCAAAGAAAAATTATGCAATGTAAGTAATTTCACCAAATTTGAACATTTTTTACTCACAAGATAGATAGATCTGCAAGTACGTACATCACATTTTTACTAATATGGCTTTTTCCCCTCCTTTTTTTTTTTTAAAGATCTTTACTGGTATTTAATTAGTTACTAAATTTATTTTTAGAAAATTATCAAAGTACATGCAAACTTTTCCTAGAACATGGTAAATGAAGTGCATTCCCAAACTTCAAGGTTACTTCTCATTTAAAGAAGACACTGCTGGTTAATTTAATCTCAACATTCAGATTTGGCCAGAAAATACTTTTTAAAAAGTCTAATGTGGAAAAAAAAATAGATCTGCTTTTAACATACAGTGAAAACTTCACATCTTCTGTGATTTTTGTATGCATTTCTCCCCCTCTCTCTCCATGTTTTTGCAACCCTAGTAATGGAGGTCAAAGCTGAAGACAAACATCAGCTAGAACAAAATCACTATCATCCATTTTCAGAGTTTCAAAGTCAAGTCTAATCCTGAGCTAATGACTTAGCAGGCACAGGAACAACATCTAAATTAAAAGCAAGCAGATTAATTACATAAATCATGGAAAGCAATTCAGTTTTTCATATGCATTCTAGTTTGGTAATCCAAGACAAAGAAAAGATACTGTAGCAGTATTTCTTCAAATGGCATGTCTTTTATACTTAAGGTAGACAGCAACTGACACCCTTACACTGAGGTAATTTTATTGCAGTTAGTTAATAGTTCCAATGCATGTCCTGAGACAAGTTAGTAAGTGAAAGGATTCAGAACTGCTAAGCGATTTGTTTTCTTTTTTTTTTTTAAAAGAGGAACAAACCTACTTTTTTTTTTATTTATTTTTTTTTAATCACAGTAGTAGTGAAGACAAACTGGCCTGGACTTCACAAATCAAATCAAGACGCTAGGTAATATTGGAAAAGAGAGGCCTAAAGCTATTTATCCTGACAAAAATACCTAATTCCCACTAGAGGTGAGGACTTAAGTTCCTTTATTCACCCAAAGAAGGCCCCTCAGCCCCACGTAGCCATGGGGGCCAAATTTCCAGCTTGTCTTTATGGACCTTCATCACATCAAACAGAGCATGGCTTCTCAAACCTGCCTCTGCCGGGAACACAAAAGCCAGAAGTAAAAACAGCAAGCCCCTTATTAAAATAGCAGGCAAAGCTGAAACAAGGGGGCACAGCTTTAAGGCAGAGAAGCTCACAGAAGGGTCCCATCCGCTGCCGTGCGAGACAGGGACCGACAGAGCCTGTGGAGTGGAGACTCAGAGGCCACCACAAAACGTCGCAAAATCTGCCCTCGCTCTGCTCAGTGACAACCCCCGATGGCGCTTTGCTTGTCCTGCATGAGGATTAAAGTTCTCCAGCAGTGCCTAGAACTGGCAACACTAATTGCCCCGTGAAAGAGGAAGTTCAGCAAAATGATTAATATATTTAATATACATATATATATACACACACAGAGAGAAAGTAAGTTAACAATTTGTGGAAGTGTTACAGTAAGGTTCAGTTTTTGTTTTGTTTTCTTCAACGGGATGAAACAACACATCTACTGATCTACAGACACACATTAACTGAAGATTTACCTGAGACCCTGTAATATGAAGACAGACAGACAAAAGAACGGGATAGAAACAGTCCCCTGAAAGGAAAGAACATTTACTGACTACTACAGTAGTGTGTGTGGGGAGGGAAAAAAACGGCTAAACTACTCTAAGCTCACCATCTCTACACTGATTGATAAGATATTTATAGGGACATAAAACATCACTAGTACACACTACATGAACACTGATCACTGTTAAAAAATATCATATATGTATGTATAGGATATAACAAGATAGTAAAGGTTACAGTTTTGCCAATTATTGAAGATATATTTTTCTCCCTCATTCTAGTGCATTTATAATAAATCGGGCTAATTTTCTACTCAGGTAAATAAATGTACTCTTAAAAAGCTCTACTTTTACTCTGCCCAATAGGTAACAAAACTATTGAACTCTAATATTCATATTACCACATATATCTGATTCCTAAACATAATGATTTAGAACGTCCTATTGCTATGCAATGTTAGAACAGCCATCTCCCCCCAGCCCTCGCATTTTGCATATCTACTGTTGCATCCATGTGGGTGACTGCAGTGGTTAATTGTTGTGGGGTTTGGGGTTTTTTATGTAATGAAAATCTTTTAAATGCAAAAAAAAAAAAACCAAAAAAAAAAACCAACCCAAGCCAACCCTATGTACATTTCAGAGAAAATATCGCTTTGAAGAATTTGTGTGCTATATATAAAATATATAGACAAGTGGGGCTTTGCTATTTCCCCATTGGTTGAAAGAGAAGAATACATCTAAAGGTTATATAAAGGTATTTATAGGAGAATGAACAGGGAGTCACAAAGTTGAACAGCACATCTAACTTCTAATAACTGTTGTCAGGTGGTAACTAGACTACACTTACCACTGTAAGAATACAAAGTTAGGCACAAATTATATGATGGCTTCTCGAGGAGATACTGTAAACAAAAGCAGAGAAACAAGGAAAAGTATGTTCAGAGTATTGGAGTGAAGTGAGTAAAACCACAGTTGCACTCCGTGTGGAGCGAGGTTTCAGACACTTCCTATAACTGAAGCATTTTTAATTTAAATTACAGAAATCAAGCTATCAAAAGAAACATGACAGCGCTTTAAACAGTGATGCCCATACACCTCAGTCTGGCACCATTTCCACAAACTACTTCTAGACTCAAATGCAGTTTAGTCCCAGTCTCAAATGATTAGTTCTTTAAATCTTGCTTTAATTTTTTTTTCTACTTGAAAAGATCAAATGGATTATTGTGTTTCTGTTCTGATCTCACATATCGCTTCCTGGTGTGCTGTTTAAAGGGTCTCTGCTCGTTTAGATAACAAGTCCTCATAGTATAATTCATACTCATAGAAAAAGTGCACAGACACAACAGGGCAAGCTCTGCTGTCAGTGTAGACAAAGTGACCTCGCTAACTGCAAGAGCCTTATGCTGGATTTATACCAGGACTACAGGAGATCCTCTCCTTTGCTCACTTCCATCCAATCTGAGGGCTGAACTTCCCTTTGATTACACCAGTAACAAAATCCTAGTCCCATCACAACTGCCTGTTACAAGGATGCTTGTGGGAAATGGGTCAAATTCTGCACTTCATTTCCTTAAAAGATTTTTCCACTGTGTTTCGTTCATTCTTGCACCACCCGACAAAACTCGGTATGTCGCCTGTTGCACAATATGCTTTTGCTATTTCACCAGGTACAGAACACGTCATGGGCATCACCTAGGCCTGGAAGTGGTCTAGCTAGGTCTTCCCTATGGCATGCAGCAGTAAGTCCTACTTCCCTAAGCAACCGCTTCCAGGCACTGCAGAAAAGAAAAGAAGAAACAGTGGGGAAACAAAATGGAAAAAAAATATCAGGAAAGGCTGGCGATGTTATTGCCACCCATGTAATAATTATTAACATTGGGTCCCCAGTTCTATATCCTTCACTGGCAGTTTAAGTCCCAGGGAAGAGGTTCCCAGTGGATCGATCATATTCATGTAACGTTCACCGCGGTGCTTGGCCAAAAATGGACCCCAGTCAGGCTGTGGAGAGCACACCAACTTGAGTCGCTGCAATGTGGGGGAGAGAAAAGAGAGACTCATTTGAAGTTACGGACCAGAATTACAATGCAGAAGAAATGAGGATAGGCTCATTTAAGATTATTGATGATGGCCCTGCAACGCTCCACTGCTTAGTGTTTGTTTTGCACAAAGTTTGCAAGATTAATAGAGGATAAAGTGCCGAGATTTTAATTATACATTCTCCCCCGCATCATATGAGGAGAGCTCAGAACCACTGCTACAGATTGCAAGGCTTACTTACTGAAGGACATGTGCACAATTACTTAGCCCAGTGGTCTAAGCAGTGGGTAACTGCGTTAAAATAATTGGATTTCTGTTTAGCATATTTCCCAAAAGTATACAAATGACCAAAAAGTTGTACATTGTTATGAATGAACAAAGATTTTAATTTTGAGATGACAAAATGTTTCATTTCTGTCTGTAGGAAAAAAGAAAGAGGAAAATGTTAACCTAGCAAGCAACAAAAATCTTCTAATCTTTCTGCTGATTTCTTTATTGAATATATAATTTGATTGGCGCATTTACAGATAAAAAGGAAAGAAAACATATTTCTGATGACTTAAGAGGGAACAATTATATGTTTATTACCTAATAAAGTGAATCAGACCTCTATATCAGTTATTTTAATCTCTACTTAATTACCAGTTTGCAACTCTTACCTCCCAAATCAACCATAATAATTTTATGCAGCAGACTCTCTATTCGGAAAATACCAGGCTACAACTGAAATAGCTTCAGCAAAAGCCCCTTCAAAACAGATCCAACTTTCTGGCGTTTCTTTGGGTGCGCTACTAGGGTGACAGCAAGGGGAGCACCCTATTTTTGCCACAACTTACATGCCAGTTCTACACACATAAGTTAGAAGATTTGAAACAGAACAATTCGTCTCCCTGAGAGAAACTTAGGAGACGATGAACAAATAAGCCCAATTTCATATTAGCTCATTTGCAGTAGGAGCAGTTGTCTCCTGACCTGTGCGCTCCAACATGTGCTACACAAGGGCTGAATGGCCCTTTAGACAAGTGGCCTGGTTGCCTAGTGCCAACCATGTACTTGGATGCTCTCCCTAGGGCGTCCCACCACTTAATATTAAACTCCTTTGCTCTACACGAAGCAGAAAAGCGTGGTCTTTTCCCTTAGGCATATGTACTGTGACATATTGAGAGACCAAAAAGATTATTCTATTTTAGTACATCTTCTCTCCTTTTCATTTTTGAGGCATATAACATCCCCCATGGGTTTTGCGGGAGAGCTGAACTGCAAAAAGCGGCTATGGAAAGGGGAGGTGAGTGTCTGTTCCTTATCGCGAGGAGGCAGCAGTACAAGCAGCGTGCAGTGACGAGAGGGCAGAACTGAGAAAGCCTCAGAGGCCCAAAATAAGAGCAGTGAACTTCTTCAGAAGACAAGGTGAAGGCAACGAAGGGATGAAATGCTGACATGAGAAAGACGTCGCTGTACCACGTCCTGCAAGGAACTGAGGAGCCAGCGGGATGGGAACAGTCGGGGTGGCAGGCAGGGCCGCAGCACAGAGACAGGGAGCAGAAGGGGACTGCCACGTTTCTGGAGTGGCAAGGGAAAGCAGCAGGAATCTGATTCGCAAAATACAAAAAAAGCAGCATAAAAATAAAGTGCCACCTGGAATTTTTTTAAGCCCAGGTGCCAGAGAGGATGAGCTTATTCAAGAGATGAAGAAGAGGGGGGGGAAATATTGCCAGCTAAGTTTTATAATGAGTGAGCTATAGAACATGAGGTCTTTTTATATGTCTTATTCCTGAACTTCATCACATGGCACAACCTCCTGCAGCACACCCCGGATGACTCGGGTACCCGACCATCTCTCACTTTGCAAACAGGCAACTCCTGACTGACATCTCCTAGCAGTGGCTGCTGCGCTCGCTGCGACACGATGGACGCCAGCAGTCGATGCTTCCTATGCCTGCACGCTGATTTTGCAAAAAGGCCAGGAAGGCTAGAACAACTTTCTCTCAGTAACGCCATACCGAGGCTCATTAAATTCGTAACACCTTCTAGTTCTCATAAAAGCCATCACTTAACAGTTTAGGAGCATTTTGTTGAGGAACAGGGAATAGGAGGTCTGCATTTTAAATCAACTGAGTATCTCTTTGCAACACAATAACTAGCTTACCAGAAAGTAATCCTAGCACTATTAGACGTTCAATATCGCAAAAATCAATGTACAATAAAACAGACAGTCTCCTGCAACCATATTTTTAAGCAGCAAAAAGACAGAAGAATTACCTCAATAAATTTGCCTGGGGCTAGATGCATTTTTATCACAAACATAACTGGGATCCAGATAACTGAGCAGGCCAGCATCAGCCATCCAAGCACCATGGACCAGCCCGGGTAGTGGTAAGCTCCGTAAGTCATCGGTTCCCACTGGTAAAAACTGAAGCAAAGGATAAACTGGAAAAAAGGAAGGAAAACAAACATGTTTGAGTAAGCAAAACAAGCCCGTTATGCAACAAATGATAGGTATCCCCACACAGAGTTGGCATGTATGGAATACAGATAAAAGTACGTACACCTAAGGAAGGGTGCTGCCACAAGCTGTAATAAACAGGTCGGAGTCTGAATCTAATGAGTTTTATGGAAATCTTGCAAAATCCCACAAAAATCACTGTATTTATGCCAGAAGAATTGAAATTAGAATCTTGCCCCTAGAGTAACATGCTTTATTACATGGTCTATTGGCAGTTTTACCTAATGTGATTATGCTAAGTTACTCCATTTCACTTACTGTATGAATAGCAATACATCTGCTTACATTTGTGCATAATTCAGTAACTTTTGGGAAATGCCTGTGCTCGCAATAATTGCACACAGAAGATTTATAGCAGTATAACTAGGTGAAGGCATGTATAAAAATGATCAGTTTTATTTCCAGAGATGTGGAGTAATTGAAAGTCTAATATTAGACTATCCAAATGTATCCAATATTAGCTTTACAGGGGCAATAATAGGAAAGAATATATTGCTTGGTTTTGCTGTGTCTGTTTCCATTGCATAAAAATTGAATTATGACTGATCAGTGTCAATATATTGCTCCCCATAATTCACTAAATATTACATTTGGAGGGAACAACCACAGAACATGGAAGTTTGAACTGACCTCGTTTGCTTTCCAAATTTGCTCTCCTTAAGAGACAACAACATTTTCTATTCCCTGGTTATGATTACTGGCAGTAGCTAAGAGTGCAAGTCTGATCAGTAAAGGAACCAAGCAATTTGAAGAAAAGCCTTACAATTCCCTTCAGAAGCGTAACAGGTCTAAGGCAGCATCTTGAAAACAGCCATTGAAAGGGAAAAAAAAAAGATAAAAACCACATGCACACAACTTTATTTTTAACAAGGCCCTCACGAGAAAAAAATATATTGCCATTTATGTTACCCTAATAATATAGATTAAACTGATCTATGTCTTCAAACTTTAAAAAAAACGATTTGCAAACTATACCTATATATTGTCAAAATCAAACAATGGTTGCCACTGGTAGGTAAGATAGATCTCCCTGGTTTTCATGCACAGCAACACTCTATTTCAGTGAAGACAATCAGTAAAGAAAATCTATGCGGGAAAGCAGAATATCTTCATTATGCCTGTTGGACAAATTGTTCTCACTGCAGAAAATTTCTTCTCCTTGCAACTCAGGGTTTTGTTGAGCTCACCAAAACTCACTAGTCCCTTCACACGTGCATTCTCTCTGCAAAACCTAAACCTTGTTCAGTTCTCAGAAGAAAACTCCTGCATTCTTGAATTAACAATACCAGAAAGTGACTAACCTTATGCAGAGGCCTTTAGGGTTGTTTGTTTTTTTCCCCAAGAAATAAAAAGATTTCCCAATGTTTACACCTTGCTGAAGAACAGCAAAAATAGGAGCTTCCCAGCGCATAAACCAAAATAAAACTTCTCTGGAAGCAATGACTGCAGAGGACTGTAGAGTCACCATTTTGCTTCTTCACCTCCCCCAGCTGTCACCACACTTACTATTTCAAAACGCGTGTCTTTTCAGAAACTCTAGCAAACTTTTCTCATCTGGTACCTAAAAATCTACGGATACTTGTAGGAACTATTTAGCACTGCTGTGAAATCGTGAGGTTTTAAAATCCTACACAAATACCGATAATCTTGCCACACTTATGGTCTGGGCCTGAGGAATTTCAGGCTAAAGAATGTTCCGTCAAAAGTAAAACAGGGGTGAAAGAAGGCTCAGCTGGTTGATACTGACTTAGCAAGACGACGGCTTTTGAAATGGCTAAAAGAATCGTTTCATTCTAACGCCAAAGCATGATACGCAGTTAAGGGCTGTTCTGTAGGTTGGCTAAAATGTAAAGGAAGCAGTGTGTTAGAAAGCTAGATAAATGTGGATAGAGTTGTTACATTTTGGCTCTGGGATTTGAAATAACAGACGCAGCGATGGTAAAATCGAGAACGTGCCGTCTTCTAGATTCAATCGGAATTAGAACTAAAGAATCATGTCAGGTTTGGGGTGGAAACACAAATTTTTAAAAAATTATTTAAAAAGAGGAAAAAAAACCGGCAAAAATCAATAAAACACACCTCTGGTTTAAAGTTAGAACCCTCATTATTTGTTTTAAACCGAGTCCCCCGCCGCGCCCCAGCCGCTGTCGCACAGCGCCACCTGCCGGGGATGCTGGGGAAGGGCGGCCGGGGGGGTACGGGGGGGCCTCACCCCCCGCCGGGCTTGTCCTTGTTCGCTCCCTCAGGGCCTCCAGTCCTTCAGTTTTTTTCCTTTTTTTTTTTTTTTTTTTTTTTTTTTTT